CCCAGCAGCAGCTCAGGCCAATGCGATGGTGGAAGCTGGATGGGGAGAGAATTGTCTGCCCTGGTGCCCCCCAGAGGACAGTCCATATTTCTGAGGAGAGCGAGCCCTACCAAAAGCAAGCTGGGGTCTTTGCCACATTGGGCTTTTTTACACCCGTGGGTTGAGAGGGTCCACAGAACTGAATTCTGTCCTGGGAGCACTCCCAAGAACAAAGAGGTCCTGCAAAGAGACCATCCTTCTCCAGGGGAAAGCTGTTCTCCTGCTACCTTCTCCCTGAGGACATCCAGAGGGCTGACAGGGACACCAGTGTGCCAGGTCCAGTGCACCATATTTTACCTCTCGCCTCAGAGGTGCGACTAGGCCTGGCAGTCTGTCTGCTGCACACGTGTGGCACCACCTTTGCGGAGGAGTCCGTTCTCCCCAGGGGAGGGTGGTTTCCATGAAAGCTCCTGCTGGCAGGAAGCTGGGGGAAGCCATAACCATTCTGGCAGGCTTGGGCGGGGCCTTGTGTTTTGTGGCATTGAGCAGTGAGTGTACGGTTCTGGCTCCAGACGCCCCCATGTAGCACACCCAGGTGGCCTGGTCGGACTGCACTCAATACCTGGCATGATTCCTCCTCGGACATAGCTTCCCCGGGCTCCCTGCCACTTATCAACAATGCAGCAGGGAGACTGAGCCTGGGCAAGGCCATGCTGCAGGGTGCAATCAGGGGACTGGGCTTGGAAGTGCTGAGCTTCCTAGGTAGAGTATGGGAGGGTCTCTGTGGCACTCTGGTAGGAAATGGACGCAGACTAAGGCGAGTCTCCTGCCGGGACCTTCATCACTGAGTGAGCACTGAACACACCGCAGGGGCTCATCGCTGCTCCTTTTCAGGTCAGGATGCTGGCAGAGCTTCAAGCTCTTTCAGGCGCCTGCTGAGCAGAATGCCTTCGCAGCCTCCCTTGGCCAGGATCACGCAGGCCCTGGCAGAGGCCCCTTCAAACATCGCTTTGTGGTGAGGTGCCAAGCAGAGTTCATCCGCCTGGCTGGGGAGGGTTTGAACGCCAGGTCTCCGCTGACTGGGCGGTAGACCAGCCACTGCGATTGGCGAACCAGGGGACTCAGTGTTGTGCCTCCTGCCACATCTCTCAATGCCATGTGGTAGGCGACGGAGCACGGTCATGGCTGTCCGAGCACCCCGCTTCTACCAACACACGCAGGAGTCACTGCTCTCCCAGGAAAGCTGAGCCAGTCCGAACTGCCCCTCACACCCACCCAGAACAGCAGGATGGCATTTTACAGCCGCTTACACTGTACACAGCTACAGCTGCGAAGGATTGTGCAAGAAACAAGGCAGTGGACAATCTGACCAGTGGGATTGACTCCCCTGTACAGGTATTCCCACGCATGATCTCTGTACTGGGACCATGCTATTTCCAGGCCTGAGAGAAGACAGAAGAGAAGTCCATCCTCTATTCAAGCCTTCATTTCACCAAAGCACCATCTAACTCATTCCCAACTCTTCTTCTACAAGAAAACCATTAGCAGCTATTCTGCTTCTCAAAAACAAAAAAATGTTAGTAACCCCTTCCATTCTGCGAGCCTCTTTTCTTCTGGTATTATCTTCCCATGTGTGTCATCAATAAAATGCATTTGTTTATAAGCCATTTCCCAGGGATGAAGGGGTCCTTTCAAGTCCCAGTGAAAGAAGGAGAAATACAGTAAAAGATGTGGTGCCCGTATCCATGCAAGCAAGCACGACAGTGCAGTTAAAAAGGATTTCAAATTACATTTTCTGTCATGTTACAAAAAGTAATTATATAAAATAATACAAGAAATCCCGACTTCAGTTAATCAGACATAATATTAATTTTGAAATTACAGACTAGGCTTTCACTTTTTGTTATTCAAATTAATTAAAACACCTTGGTTTCCCATGAATCAATTAAATTAGTATTTTTTAAGATTGCTACACAATGTCTCTGCCCTGTTTAATACCATCAACGCTCCTTATGAGGCGCGGAAGGCATTGAACATGCTGAAATCCGTTGCCTATTGCAAGTTGTCATGTCATCCAGAAGAATAGAATGAATGGAGCATTTCAGACCTTGAACTCCACATCTGGTTGAATTAAAAGGATAAATGGGTACACAGGATCAGTCTACTATGTGCACGTTGTTGCTCTGACAAATGTCTCTACACTATACAATAAACCAAAAGCAAAGTTACTGACAAAGAAGCGACAAGCTATATCAATAACCCATTGGGATCAATGGAATGATGTCTATTGTCTTCAAAGGGTTTTCAACCGGACCTTCTGCTAGTCAATGGAACTATGTATTCCACCCCCTCTCGCTGTGCATTCACAGCTCTGCAAATCCATCCCTCCCCCACAGTACAATAATGCAGCGCTAAGTTTGGTTGCTGGCATATTGTTCCCTCACATGCCATTCATTCTCATCTATGGAATTCTAGAGGATACCGTTTAAGGACCAAAAGGGGGAAAAGAGAGGCTCAGGAGGACCAGGGCACTGGCAGAGCTGTGAGGGACCATGCCTCATCCTCCTTTCTATGAGCCCCTCCCTACACTGCAGCCCTTTAAACCTGCCCCTCCCAGGAAGCATTCGCGTCTAATTATTTTACCCCCAAATGCTCTGCTGACAGCTCCCAAAACTCGAAGGGGCACCCATGTCTGAGGTCTGCGCTTGTGAGTAATTTACCCTTAGTTATGTTGATTGAAAGGTGAGCTGACACCTATCAAGGGGTCTGTGAATCATCTATATATTATTAAATCGCTGATAACGGTACAAAGCAGTAGAAGGAAAGCATTTGAGTTAGGGGGAACTCAGGAGCCCTTCAGTTGACTGATAACCCCAAATTTGCATCATTAATGCTACCTCTGTTCCCCAGGAGGTACACCAAATTTCAAAGCAATTCAGTTAACGGTTTGAATTTTAGAGCGCTTATGTGTGCTAAGATGTAAAGCAGATAAAATGGTGAGAATGGAAATGTGTGTGTGTGTGTGTTTTCTGTATTGGTGCATGCACAGTTTCAAAATACACATTTTCCTAAATACTATTTGTGACAGGGTGCTCTCTCCCCCCCAGCCTCCGGACCTGGAAGGGTTAACCCTTCTGGGCTGAGGAAGGCACACCCCCTCAACACTACTGGGTGCGCTCCAAATGCTCTTGTATAAAAGGGAGCAGCTCAGCTCAGTTGGGGTTGACCACCCATGGGGAAGGACATTCATTGCAGGCTCTAGCCAAGGAATAGCCAAATCCCAAAGCCATGGGAGCCCAAGATGCCACAACCCAGGCAGATGCCAGGATAGCCACAGAGGCTCCCACGGAATCTGGAATCATTAGCGGCAACACAGATCAGGAACCTCGGGGTCAGCGGAGATGCCCTCCCCACAGCAGTGGCCCAGGGGAATTAGCTAGTGGACCAGTTAGTGAACCACAGGCTAGAGACCTTCTGCTGACTCAGTGGCACATTCTCCTGCCATTACCAGACTGCTGGGATGGGTCAGGGCCTGTGCTCTCTTACTCATGCTGCCAACCCTTCCCCTTTTCATTCATGGTGACTCCCTTCCCCAGCCGGGCTGAAGCTATTGACTTTGGGCCATTAGGCATTACTGGCCTGCTAACAGAGCAAATACGCTGCCTTAGGCTATTGTGGCGCTCAGCCCAGCAGATAGGGGAGAATATATCGGCTTTGGCTATGTAAGCACTGGCACACTCACCCCGCACTGAATGGGACACATTTGCACTGTGATGAGATGCTCAGTTTGGGCCTCCAAAGATTCAGTGGGAGCCATGCACAACTTTTAATAAAACATGACAGATTAAGACCATTTTGATCCACATCAACAGTTTCATCTCTAGTGCTGCACAGAAACACGCAAGCCCGCTAGAAACTGTCTTTACAACTGCTACGTTTTTCAGGGCTTCACACCCCATGCTCAAACGGCTCCAAATGTGGGTTGCTAGCCTAACTCTGTACCCCACTGAGACACACCAAATTTCAAAGGAATCTGACTAAACATGTCCATTTGATATAGGGTTTAGAAAGGTCAGCTCCGGGGGACAGCCACACTGGTATCATGAACTCTTCAAAGACTATACAGCCAGACTTTTTGCAAACCGAGGACCTGATATTACAAAGGCTTGGGCCCTTGACTGACTTTACCCAGGCACATAATCCCATTGACTTCTTTTGGTTCTGGGGTGGTGCATCTTTTGCATCTGAGTCCATGCGCACATTACAGCCATGACAACGGCGCTGCAGCCATACCCCTTTCGTACCATAGCCTAACTGCTTCCTACATGGACTGAAGCGGATTTTCACTTCTGGGAGAGGTGGTAACTAGTCGAACGGAAGAATTCTTCCCTTGGCCTGTCTGCCTCTACATGCGGGGGTAGGTCAACCTGATTACACGACATTGCCCAGGGAGTGACATTTTTCACACCCTGAGGGACTAAACTAGGTCGATCTAATTCTTAACTGTAGACTAAGCACAGAGTGGAGGGCAATGGGACCTCTAGTCAACCTCCTTCTGTCTCTTTTGCCTTGCTCTTGGGTCTTTTGTTGTTCATTTTATACAGAGTAGCCTGCAGAGGCTGAGAGAGCTAAACCAGGGTTGAGCTTGCATTTATTTCACACTGAACTCAGAATATAAAGTTTGAATGGATGGGTATAGAAGCTGTGGCTTGAGTCTAAGAGCTTCTACCTCAATAGAGGGGAAATTCCTTGAATCTTTGTTCTCTCAGGTTTAATGCCCAGCTTGCAACTGTGTCTATTGATTGAAATAAATGTCTGTGAGCTTGGGCAGGTTTTCGATCGGAAATGGTTGCAGATAGCAAGCATAAGTTGTTGTTGTAGTCAAGTGCAATTTTCCCCCCATGGTTTTGCTTTGTTTCTTTGAAGTCTGCCAGATAAGCAAATCAAATGGGACGCACTTTACTTCCTTAACAAAAGCAGCAGTATTGCATCTTGGGAAATGGAAAGCACAGAAAACTGACCTTTACAGAGGAATGGTCTCTACGGCCAAGTCCTTTCCGTGATGTTACTGTACCTCTCTTCAGTTTGCGCAATGGACTCCAGCTAATGAGAAAGAAAAGGATAGAAAAGTGCATCTGTGATTAGAGAAGAAGGAGAACACATACTTGTCAAAGAGATCGCATTTAAAAAATGTCTGGATAGGCAGCAAGGAAGAGCAGGGATGTATTTAGCGATAGACTGCTCTGTTCACAGCACTGCACTGTTACAGTGTGTCAGACAAAGCAGCTATAAAAACCTATGCAAAGATCTCCCAGCATCAGCCTGCCTATTAGATCCCTTTCTTTGAGCAAAACTGCATGCGAGCCAGAACCCCTTGAAAGCCCCGCCAGGCATGACAGTGATCATAAACGGTGGGGTATGTGTGTCGGGACATTTGCATCTGTACTAGATGAGGCTAATGAGATTGGCCTCAGAATGGAATGGTCTGAATCAAAAGACGTGCCAGTCGTTTACTGTCCACAAATAAGCCACGTTCATGATGGGGAATTGTGGGGCATTCTTCAGCTTATAACTTTTCCATTCCGGATAATGGTGGCTAGGTGTGAAATGAAGAATGAGATAGGTATTTTAATTAAGGGGTAAGTATGCACTAGTCCGTAGCAATAATAAAGTGCTAATGGGCTGCAGATGGGTAGGTATAGCCCATAGTGGCATTATTAGGTCTCGCTTGCCCATTCTCCCCAACAGAGAGGGTATGTAACTGGCATGTGCTAATGTCACCAAAGCCGCCCAGTTCCATACGGATAATGAAGGAAGATTTGTATGGTGTTAGACTGAGTTTATGCAAAGCTAAAGGGAGATTTCGAGCAGCTAATTGGCACAATCAATTTCTAGTGGCAAAGAACACGCCACACACCATCAATATTTAATGCCAGGGGACATTTAATAATATTTTAGGGAAAATGCAAACATACGAATTTGCCATTAATATTCCTCCCATGCAAGGCTTTCGGAACAAGTTTAAAAAAACTCCACTGATGAAATGCAGTAGGTTTATCCAGCGCACTCCTTGCTAAAGCTGGGTGACGGGGCAGGATTCGGTGTGGGATTTTCAGCAGGGATGGGAGTGTGGTCCTTCAGGAAAGGAAGCCTTAGTTCAAGCTGCAGTAGCTGTCCTGTCATCAAGGACAACTGCAAGCAGCCCTGTGGGAGTGGGAACATTGTGCTTGAAACAGATGCTGCTACCAACACCTACCAGGCAGGGACATGACATGGCAAATAAAAGGGTTAAAGTAATTGCCCGAGAGCTAAACAGATCGTCCAAAGCCCTTTAGCTACGAGCCAGACTAGGAGTGGTTGTTCCCCCTCTCTTTTCCCTCAGTCCTGTAGGGGAATCACATTTACTTTGGCATCATGTGCCTCCTGAATTTGGCCCGCTCATGTGGTTGGTGGTGGTGAGCCCTCAAAGAAGCAAACAGAACGATTAATCCTCTGAGCCAACATCTGTGGCCCAGACTTGCTTGCTTGGTTTGTGCAGCCAATGGGAAGGTTCAGCGGGGATGAGTGAATCAGTGACCATCCATGGAGCACATATAACAACTGCCTTTTGAAGTGGGTGACCCAACGCCCGCCGAAGTGCTGGAAAGGGCTCCCATGTGCCACTGTATCCTCCTATGCAGATTTAATCAAGTGGCATAGGGCAAGTGTGTAGAGTCCCTTTAAGCAGCATGTGAGCCCTCTAGCAAAGACCCAGTAGATAACATCTGCATTGCCTTTTCCCTCATCAACCATGATGAGACACGTTCAGGACCCAAGTTAGTATGGACTGTGTGAAACATTTCCCAGTGATCGGCGTTGGGCTCTTAAAGTAATCCTATTTTAGCTGATTTTTCCCATTAATACTGTATAATAATAAAACAATTCACATCTGAATACTTCCTCGCTTCAGAAACTGAGATGTGGTTTGCTTGGAACAATTGCTGTGAGACATTTTAAATGGGCCCGTATCTAGAACCTCTGTAAGAAAACCCATTCCCTGTTCAAGTTCTCCAGCCACTAGTGTTCACTTGTCCCATGTAAATGGTGTTTCGCATTCGCTTGGGTCAGTAAATGGAACACTGTTGTATGTCTATGTGATATGCTTAAACAAAGCACACGAGAACTTTTATAGGGGAAAAGGCAGCTCGCCGCATTTACTGAGAATACAACAGTTGCATATGCTTTTCAGTCACTCACACACACAAACACCATACACACAGTCCCGCCAGACGAGGTTATAGTTACCAGTACATAAATAAAACGGGAAAGTAAAATCACTGTTCTGTACCCAGCTCACTAGGAGCCAAATTCTGTCCTCATTTACACTCTTGTTGCCCCATTGCTTTTACTGGGTTGGCATGCTGTGAGCCTCTCACTGGGGTGCGCTAGTCAGTCTATTCAACTCAGGCGCTTACACGTATAAATCATATTTTCCTACATGGGGGAAAAACCCAGCCAGGTTCGACTGTTTTTTTTATTAGCCATTGTCACTAGATAGATAGCCATACATTTGTGGTCTCAAAGCCAGGTAAAAAACATCTGTTGGCATGAAAAGAAACAAGCCATGTGCCCTCAGCATTTGAACACACCGTTCGGAATGATATTTAGACAGATGAACTTAGTAGAGGCACAGTGATACTCACCCCTTATAATATCATAGAGAATGGCCAGATTTGCATTGGTCATTTAGATGCCTAGCAGAGAACTAAGCTCTGAATGACACAGCTGTGGATGCTAAGCTCTTTGAAAATCTGGATGTAATCTGGATGCTGTAGAATTCAGTGCTATGATCCTGCAGTGGTTGCTGGGTTTTGACACATGACCCTAGAAGTTCCATGGCATTACAGCTGACCTGATTTCCCCTCCCTTTCAGCTCTTTAACCACTGGGCTATATATTTTTACAGTACACTAAATATTGCATGCAAACGGGAGGCTGTTTCTGCAGCTGCAAGAAGCAGAAGGGGAGGCAGTAAATCAATACAAGAATGCAACAGTGAGAAGAGTGCAGGCCAGAAAGTCACCACTTCCACACTAACCAAACCAAAGAAGCTCTGTCATGCAGCAAGCCGCCTACTTGTTATCCAGATTTGCAGCCTGGGCCCATATTGGGTTGTGAAAATCAGTTTGCACCTGCTTGCCCTGGAGGCCTAGTGTATGACACGGCAGCTGGACACAGGAGGGGGAAATGAATGGGAAGCAATGCAAGCCACAGAAGATGAAGCCATACACACGCACAGCAAGAGAACCAAGTTGCAGATGCACCTTCTGCCTGGATACTTTCAAGCCCCGTAACTACCACGCACAGCAGGTCCTGCCACTCACCTGAGACATGACCCAGCCTACGGCAGAGTTCTGTGGGATTCATAAGTGGCTGCCCGGTTTCCCAAGGACAGACATGTTGGTGATACCAAATGAGAGCCCACTAGAGACATACAACAGGACAACAGTGACGCCTGAGACACTATGAACCTTATTTCATTTCAGGTTTTGTTACCAAAGCCATTGGCCTGCCCTTTCCAGAGAATTTCAGTCCTATAGCCTTTTCAGGTACCTGCTCCGCACTATGGAACAGCCAATTAGCGGGTATCAGCTGGGGTGGTTATAATTGACAACAGTGTAGGGATGAAGGGCACCAGATTTTTCGAGTTATTTAGATGCCTAAAGAGGCAGAGTGGCATCTAGTGGGATTTTCAAACGCTGGTGATACGGCAAATGGGTTGAAACAGAACTTCCAGATGGGCTGAGGAAAGTCGTCAGTAGTGCCGACTCCGCAGCAAGCGGTATCTGCCAGACTTCAGACCGAGCTTCCAATTCTGAAAAGAATTTTGCTCCAGTCCGCACAAAGGTGCAAGCATCACTTTCATTGCACTTGGCAAGGTCTTCGTGGATCCTAACCTTAGCGATTGGCTTTGGGACCACATCCCTGCCTGCACCCCATTCTCCTGGGGTGGGGGTGCTGAACATGACACCCCTCGGCTCCATGCAGCTACGCTCTGCTTTCATTCGGAGTAGAAAAGGAAGGGGGACTTTTCTGGTGTGGGACCAAGCAAATGGGTTTGTGCTTGGTAAGAGTTTAATGTGGTGTTCCTCCCGTAGCTTTCCCAGGCTTGGGAACAATTTCAGGAACCTCTCAGGTTCTAGGTCCAGGGTGACTGGCTCTATCCTGATTACTAGGCCTAGGGCTGATAATTTTGGGGAGTGGTTTTACGGGGTGATCAGGAATTAAAATACAGATGGTTTAGTCTCCCATAACCTATTTTGCTGTCAATTTTTCCAAAGGACACCACCATTCCAAGGCTCCAGTTCCATACATCCTTAGAGGGCATCTTCACTGCACAGAGGATATGTCCTTAACTTGGGTTAACTCACCCAGTTTCAAATAGCACAGCAGCTATTGACATTTTACTCAGGTTAGCAGATCAAGCCTATAAAGAGGCCTGTGGTTGAACTTAACTCAAGTTAAACCGCAGTTAGCTAACTGAGGTCACTGCGAGTACTCTTGTATGCAAACTTACTCTCATGTGTCAATGTTGGAAGGACTAAGCCCTAAGAGTACTGCTTTTGCACTCATGAGCTTTACTGTTTACTGGCTGCTTAGGCTAACCCTATGAAAATTCATTATCCTCTTTCCATTACGTTTCAAAACAAACTGTGCTGAATGCATGCGTTCCCTTTGAAAGACAAAAGGTGCAGGCTCTTCATTGCATGTCACCAGCAAAACCAACCTTATTAGTTTTGTTCCACCGTTTTTATCATATTAAAAATTAATAAGGTTTGTTGACGAAGCACAAGAAACTAACAATTTCTAAATAATTTAGTGCCAACCCACTTCCTTCCATGTATGAAGTGGCTAGATTGCTTTTTGGAGTGTTTTGAACTGAAATCCCAAAGGCCTTTCATGTTTTTAGTCAGCTGCCTCGGAACCATTTAATTACCAGGCTATTCTCAGCTTGGGGCTGGCTCTGTCGATGGGAGAGCCTCCAGAAGGCGAGAAGAATGAAAAGCTTTATCTTTCGGTTCACAAAGTTCTCCAGGCACTAAAAGTGCATCATTGCTCAACCCT